TTTTTTTTTTTTCTGTGCTGGTGTTGTGTACTCAGGTGAATAATATGTTTTGTGATGTTGCTCTGAGTGCATATCCACACCGGGCGAGCTTGAAAAATATGCCCGGCCACGGTGGGATTCGAACCTACGACCTTTGGAATACTAGCCCAATGCTCTTCCAACTGAGCTACGCGGTCAGGACGGTTCGAGTAAGTGATATTTCGGAACAGTATCTAGTTTCTTCAATACCAATGTGTTCTTGTAATATGAATTTTTTTTTTTTTTCTTTTTTCTTTTTTTTCTGGGCTGGTGTTGTGTACTCAGGTAAATAATATGTTTGTGATGTTACTCTGAGTGCATATCCACACCGGGCGAGCTTGAAAAATATGCCCGGCCACGGTGGGATTCGAACCTACGACCTTTGGAATACTAGCCCAATGCTCTTCCAACTGAGCTACGCGGTCAGGACGGTTCGAGTAAGTGATATTTCGGAACAGTATCTAGTTTCTTCAATACCAATGTGTTCTTGCAATATGAATTTTTTTTTTCTTTTTTATTTTTTTTCTGGGCTGGTGTTGTGTACACAGGTGAATAATATGTTTGTGATGTTACTCAGAGTAACATCACAAACATAAGTCTGATAATATCAACAAGGTTGTTACAACTGTTAACAAGTTAAGTTGTTCCAAGGCCTAACAGAAATTATCTTGTGGCTTCTCTACCGACCGTATGATGGTTTGTTGGTGTGTTTGGGTTGTTTTTGCTTTGCTATAATCGACCCTTTTATTTCCGTTGCTCGCTTTGTGGCATACCTGTTGGGTACAGTTATTGCTTCTTGAAAAGTTTATGTGTTATGGCAATATGCCAACTGATCACACTCATTGCCATTGTTGATCATGAAACCGGAACCAGAAGATATTTTTGTTGGGTTTTATACGGTCTGGTATTTTTGTACGGTCTGGTATTAGGAACCTTAAGCAAACAGGACGGCAACGTGACGACGATGGCTATTCACACAATGATATTCCTGATCTCGTACAAAAGAAATGAATAATTAAAAGCCCCGCGGGAGTTAGAGACGTTGTGTTAGGGCTTTTTACAACGGCAAACCAGAGATTTTCACGTCTTGTGTACAACACAAACATCCAGGTGATCTCGTGTTCGTACTTTAGCCAATCAGCGCTCAGAAAGGGTTGTCCGAATAGAAATCCATTTTGATGTATTCAGTCAATTATATCTTTCGTTATTCTTTATGAAACTAGTTGAAATTTTGTAATTATGTCTGGTTATGAGAACTCTAGTTCTGACAAAAATATGGAATCGAAATAAAGTATATTACAGGAGATATTCAGTTGTTTTAATCATAAAATGGATTTCTATTTGACAACTAGTGCCAGTACTTTTCCGCGTATCAAGATCATCTGGATGTCAAGACGCGACAAGTGAAACTACATATTTGCTCAGCAGAAGCGTTTTTAACCGTAAAGCATTTGTTTTAATCTCTTCAAACTGAACTTAATTCTTACATACATGCAGTGGATAATACACAACAACTCTTCTTCGCAATAATGGCCAACTTGCATGTTAGACCAAATTTTAATCTAAGCAGAGAAAAGGGAATCAAACACCACAGCTAAAAGGAACATACTGAAATTAGTAAAAGTGGAAAATTTGGCTGCGAAATGTTGTAAAGCTTGGAAAATATAACTTTGCAAAGTTTGCATATTTTCAGTATATTTGTATTACGAGCGGAAATTGTTACCATTTTCGGCTCAAAAATGGTAACAATTTCCGCGCGTAATACAAATATACTGAAAATATGCAAACTTTGCAAAGCTGTATTTTCCAAGCTTTACAACATTTTGCAACCAAATTTTGCAAGTTTACTAATTTTAATAAGTTCTTAATGGGAATTTACTTTTTTTTTGCCTAGATCAGCTACATGAAAAATTTGTCTAACATGCAAGTTGTCTATTGATTTGAAGAAATTTGTTTTGGCTGTCGTTGTCGCGTTGCCGTCGTACATGCTTAAGGTCCCTATTCTCGCTAATGCGTAATTCCATTTCACTTGTACCACATGATCAGCAAACTCAACAAGTTATTCGAAACTGCGTTTAAGTAGCTACAGTAACTGTATTTTGTAGTTAATTGCATGTGTCTGTATATGATGTTGTGCTGCTTCATGCTCGAACTCATTTAAGTCCCGTTTACACTACGCTCAGTTTTTGGTACGGCACGGATAAAATTGGTACCCGTACCACTTTTTAGGTTCTTGTACTACCTATTTAGGTAGTCCAAGAACCAAAAAGTGGTACGGTACCAAAAATTGAGCGTAGTGTAAACGGGGCTTAGCTAAATATACCCGTTTACACTACGCTCAATTTTTGGAACCGTACCACTTTTTGGTTCTTGGACTACCTAAATAGGTAGTCCAAGAACCAAAAAAGTGGTACGGGTACCAATTTTATCCGTGCCGTACCAAAAACTGAGCGTAGTGTAAACGGGGCTTTAGTTTCAGGTTACTGAATGAATTAGAAAAATGTCGACGTTTATGCACTTTATGTAAAAGACTAAGTCTCACTAAGTACACCATGCATGGGTCTCAAGTCAAGCACGCGGCAGTAATCAGTACCAGTGATGTACAGCATTTTGACTTACGGCACCATGCCATATATGTACAGCTTATGGACATAATCAATACGTTCAAAGATATTCAGAACATAACGGAACAGTTAAGACCCATCTGCACGATATAGGTAGTCGCATACGAATAAATGCGTGTAAAGATGTCACATTTCAAATTACGCCATAACCTGAAGAACAGGGATAGTGGCGTCAGAAGTCGTTTTCATACTGGCGAATGACAGTCGTATACGACTGGTCGTATCGTGTACAGTGAATGGGCCTTTATTACCACAATATATCAAGTTAAGTTGCATAACATTTGCTTGATAATCGCTCACATCACAATTCGTTAATACAGTACAGTACCTGTAGCATTTTCCTGGTCCTGTTCGACCTGCTCGACCTGATCTTTGCTTGGCCTGAGCCTGAGAATACAAGAAAAACAATTTTTTAGCGTTACACTAAAAATTACAATTATATTGGACGAGCGTGAATTTTATACATTACTGGATCTATAAATTGGGATAACAGATAGAACTGACAGAGCTCTCTGCAGTATAATTAAATTTCACATTTAACTAAATTTAGTCTATTGCGTTATTTTCCAAAACGATTCCTTATATTTCACAAATAACTTGGTGACTTAATATTTTTTCGAATAGGCCTTGTGCTTTGGACGCAATTACTCGATTTGGGGCTAACATTTAACATTGTGTGGGGAGAGTAATCTACCCAATCATCGCAAGAGGCGACGTGCAAGCTCGCTGCGAGTATTTTCATCCAATCACAATGTTCAACAGTTTATTTTACAATTAGATGCAAGCACTCGCAACGAGCTTGCGAGATGATTGTTGCGATCAATGGAAAAGAGTTCTCTTACCTGTGAAATTGGTGTGACAACCAAGGCATCCATACCACTCTTAGAATTATACACTTTTTGTTTCACAAAGCCAGGATCAACAACGTAATAGATACCATCAATAGTCAACGATGTTTCCGCGATATTTGTAGCAATGACAACCTGAAATAACACGAACATTGAAAGATACACAATATGTTATAACAAGTTAAATGATTGACTTCCTATAATTATGTTATGGTATACGTATATCGAAAGGCTGTCTATGTAGCTTCGTTTTCGTGATTGAGACACTAGGTTTTAACTGTCTCAACCTTGCCCCCATTAGTGTGTGACTGTACCCCAGACCCCTGCTACAGCTTGCTCGGCGTCTCCTCGCTAAACTCCCCCTTGAATGTTCGGCACCCCCAGAGCAAAATCTGAACATCCGTCGCTATACGGGGCGGTGACACCCCTTGAAAACAAGTTGTCGGCAAAATAACGAATTTATCGGCAAATTGTTCTCGTAGTCAGCGAAAATATTTGAGTGGCTCGGATTAAAAAGTAATAGTTATAGCAAAATATTACCGAAAAATTTAACAAATTACGGTACATTATAATAGTCGAAAGCTAGTGAAAAATGGTATGTACGGAAATTTTTTAACCTCGTCCCCCCCCCCCTTCTCCGCCAACAATTGTCGGCAAATGCGATGCTATACCAGCCCTGCTGCTGCTGCTGCTGCTGCTGCTGCTGCTGCTGCTACCGCCCCTGGGTACCAATTGAGGTATATAAACCTCAACTGGTACCTTAGCCAAATTTGTCCGTTGCTTAAAAGTTGCAAAATATCTGAACATGTTCTACTCTACTAACCTTTCTACTTCCTGGTGGGGCAGGTTCAAAGATTCTGGTCTGCATTTCACTGGGCAATGCACTGTATACAGGCAAGATGATAAGCTCAGGCACTTCAGGACCCAGAGATTTCATACGTTCATAGAGGATTTCACATGATGTATCGATTTCTTCTTGACCTGCAAACACGTATTTATTTTTCTCAGTATATATGCACACTAGATATCAAAATATTCACGACTCTTTGGGTGGTCTCACGGAAAGTCTTTAATACAATTTGCGGGCTTGTGTGTATGATGTAACTATCTGAAAATCACAGTTACCGCAATTTTATTAAATTATCGTTAGAAAGAGTTGGGCAATTCTCTGACGGAAATCTTGTTAACAAGTGGATTATTTGAAACCTTCGATGAATGAACTTTCAAGACGATTATTTGAAACCTGAAATGGTTATGTATTATTTGACCTTATATTCACTTCTTGTTAACGTCTCTGATAGATTCTACTGCAGCATATATGGTAAATAATGTAAGTGTTTGATAACAAACGGCAAAAAATTGCCATCGATAATTTCATTTTCGGCGGTACTATATGGATTAAGAAAGAACGTTTCTAGCTTAGTCCTATCCTGCCTTCAAAGGGCCTTTAGGTTCCTAAGTATGACCACCTTGTCTAGCTGGAAATCTTAGTTCTTTAAACAGTTTGCCTCAAATATCATGCATGCAATCTGTAGCTTAATTTATAGCCTACTAAGGGGCCGATTACATGGAGCATTTTCAACCCCGGGGTTGAACTCAGCCCTGTTTACCGGGTTGAAATTTCAGCCCTGTCTGTAATACAAAACTCTATCAAAATCAAACGCGCGATTACGGTTGAAATTTCAACCCCAGGGTTGAACTCAGCCCTGGGTTGAAAATTTTGTCATGTAATCGTTTCAACCCAGGACTGAAATTATCACGAGTTATTCGAGCATACGTGGTAGTGACTATTTATTACAAGAAAACAAAATAAAGGCTTTTTTACTTCCGAGAATCGATGCCGAGAACGTATAGTATAGCGTTTCAACCCCGGGGTTGAAATCGTCCATGTAATCGCAAAAAATTTCAACCCGGTTAACAGGGCTGAGTTCAACCCCGGGGACGGGGTTGAAAGTTGTCCATGTAATCGGCCCCTAATGCTTTCATGGTTGAAAAACTATAGTTACAATATTGTTACACAGTTATTCATCTATCACTCAAAGGCTTTCAGAAATTATTAGGGCCACAGGGGAGGGGGCGTTGTGTACCCTCTGGCACTCGCCACAGTCGGAACATTGAAATGTGTTCATATTTTTCAGGTACAGTAGTTGCATTATGCAAGCCCTCAAATTGAATTCTTCGCTACTTACTGTACACTGGCACCTAACATCCAGGATTTTATGACGAAAAGTCTAACTGCACAAGAATAGATTTACCTGACTTGACATACAGTTTTCTGTGAGAAGAGTGTTTCAATTTGACCGAACCAAGCAGTTTTTGAGAGGGCACCAAAATTTAAAAAGTGAACTGCTGTTATGCTATTTTAGAAGTATATGATGTCACATGGTTCTACAAAATCTCCCGTCACTTTTTTGGCTTTCCCCCCGCTCTTTGCAACACTTACCTGTCAAAAAGACGAGGACATCACCAGGTGGCTCGGTTAGATGAATCTGCATGACAGTCACGAGTGCCGCATCAAGATAATCACTCTCTGCCTCCTTTGTATACAATATTTCCACTGGGAACGTGCGTCCTGGGATTGTGAATATCGGAGCCTCAAAGAAATACGTGGAGAATTTGACAGCATCAAGTGTCGCTGAAGTGACGATCAACTTTAAATCAGGTCTTTTCTTAACAGCTTTCTTCATTAAACCAAATAAAACATCTGTATGAATAGTTCTCTCGTGCGCTTCATCCAGCATGATCATTGAATACTGTGTTAGGTTTGAATCAATTAAACACTCTCGTAGTAACATACCCTCTGTCATGTATTTGATCTTAGTTTCAGGGCTAGTGCAGTCTTCAAAACGAATGGTATAACCAACTTCTTGACCTAAACGGCAACCGAATTCTTCTGAGACTCTCTTTGCGACGGACATGGCTGCAACACGACGTGGTTGGGTACATCCAATCTTGCCAACCGATGCCAAGCCAGCTTCAGCGACATACTGAGTTATTTGAGTAGTTTTACCACTGCCTGTCTCGCCAATAACTATGAGAAGTTGGTTCTCGTGCACAGCCTAAACCAAGAAAATATACAGTACACCTATTCAGTTGAAATTCAGAAAAAATACCCCAAGCTTTAGAACTCACGACGACACAACCTCTAAGTACAGAATAGACGTGCATACGTCTTTTTCTTTATGCCTGTATTTGACTGTTACATTAATATCTACTCGAGGACATTCATATATACTCGATTACATAATTATGCAAATCGCGAGATTGGTGTTTAATTTGCAATCTCTTAGTTCTAACTTTTATGCGACAACCTTAATTCAATTAGTTCAGGGTTCGTACATATCAGTGAGAGTCAAGGATTTTTCCAGGACATTCAAGACCATGCATCAGCAAATTCAAGACTAAATACTGAAAAGGCGTAAGAAATCAGTACAATGTCACGTAGAATTATTCAAAACGCAACTTTAGTGAATTTCAAACAGCTTTGCCAGATATGATCATGCAAAATCAATTCAACAAAATGTCCGTTTTGGAATGTTAAATAATTTCAGAAAATAGCCATAAACTAAAGCAAGAAGAATTCAAGGATTTTCAAGCATTTCTTTACAAATTCCAGGACATTCAAGGCCTTGCATTTTTGTTTTCAAATTCAAGGACATTGAAGGACTTTCATTAAGTTTTGTACGAACCCTGTTAGTTGTATAATCCAGGTAGCTGTTCCTATTGGACGTATATCTGACCAACAGATAAACAGCCAAACAAACAAACTGACTAACTAACTAGTTAACAAACTATAACTGAGCAATTAACTGACGTACCATCATAGTTCACCAAATTACTAACGGACTATAGCTACAGTATATCATTCTAATATGTCACAAACAAACTATAACTATATAAACTTTCAACCAAAAGCTACTGCATGTAACAATCCACCGAGGAAATACACAAATCAATTCAGATCTAAAAAAAAATAAAAGTTGTGTGGTTCTTACCTTAACCAATTCATTTCTAAGTTTATAAATAGGCAAACTTTGTCTTTGCTCTAAAATGGACAGATTTGTTTTCTTGCCATAAGATACTTTCTTGCCTCCAAATGAAGCTTTACGCCATTCAGGCATATCATCTTTTGCAGACAGTCCAATTCCTTTGGCTTCTTGAGCAAACTGTGGTCGATCCTCCTCGCCTGAAGCTAAAAGAAAGTATAATCTATAGGTTCGCAGATAATAGAGCTGCTCCCATCGGTTCATTTTCGTAATCGACTGATCATTATCAACAATCGATTAATATCATTAGCCGTATTGTAAAAATCTAGAGTTGTTCGTGCCGCTTTCAAGTCTATAGATCTTGAGTCATTAATGTCACTTCCAAGAAAGGGGTATGTTTTAAAGTGTTATATCTAACATCCAATGGAAGTGCTAATATATATAGTAGCAGAGAAATCAACACAAGTCGCGTTTGTTATTTGATGACAATACCATTTCCTCGTAATTTTTTCATTCGGGAAAGAAAGTTATCCGTTGATTCAATTATTGTTAAGAATAATCGATTGGCAATTTTAAAAGTGTAAAATTTAAGGGTGTTACTCGTCACGTGCCCGTACTAGATTAAGCCTTGCTTAGGTTCGCTAATATATACTGCTACCCGTAGGTCCCAGTCTAAACCATGACAAAGTTTCGATGACCACCCTTCACTATTAGATCTGGCTGGATCCATCTCTGCACCCAACAAAATTATAACTGACATAAAAGCTCACTACAGTATAACGTTCCTAATCTTACCCGAAGGAACGGGATCAACCCATAATTTTCCAAGATCTTTCGGTACCGAGTTTGCTTGTTCTTCCCTTTGAGCTTGTTTTAATTCACGTCGTTCCTTTGCCAGCGCTGTTTGAGTCATAGCTGCTCTCTGGAGAGAACCATCTGGATTCTGTCAAAATAATAGTTGTATAATCATTAGTGCATTGCGATATCCTTGAGACAGACTGAAACGCAGAATTTTTTGGTCTTACTGCTTGTCTAAAATGAATAAAATGTTTCGAAACTCTCCGAGGCATATTGTCAAGGCGGACTCAAGGCGATGTTTCTATGTTGTCAAGAGCTTAATTACAAGTGTTCTAAGCATTAGTGACGTTAATTCAACTACTATATAGTAGATTGTTTATTCCAAAAGTGACTTAGTAGTAGTATATTTATTCAATGTTTTATGTAGTGAAATAGTTCCATGCGCAAGTATCAAATTAAACCTACGCATGAGAGTTTTAAACTCAATCGAAAATCGCAGTGGACTCAACAAATGGAAAAGCTGCTTACCTTAACAATTTTAACAGGACTCATATCAACACTTAATTTCGTTTGACCATTGAGAAATGGCGGTTCCTCTTCAACCAATTCAATTTCAATATCCTCATCTGCAAATCAGTACATATGTACAATATTTAAGCTTCTGTGTAAGCGCAGGCCGCATTATGGTAATAAGAGATACTATACTATAATATGGGTGGCGATCAAGCTAAAGGCATGGAGCTGAGTCTATAATGGCCTAGCCATTAACTCCAGGCTGAGAGAACTGGCTCCACTTGAATTTTGGAATCAATGTTTGTGGTTGTGCAT